CCACTCTCATTTGAGAGTTTTAGTGTTATTTAATCTGTTTGGCTTCTGTCATGTTGTTAAGTCTGCAACTTTTTATGCTCTTCTCTTGCCCAGATTTGTCTTTGCAAAAGGGCATTCCGACCTAAATTCGACTTTTTTTGGTTTAATAAAGGGTAAAATTTATTAAAAAAATGTTTTAAAGTTAACCAGTGTAGTCTATTGACATTTCCATCCATTTGTGATGTAAAATATGTATATATGTAACTGATGTATTACTTGCAGTTACATTCCTCATGACAAATCAGCTACGCCTCTCACTTTAAAGGAGGGTCCACAATTTTTCAAGTCTGTCTTAACAATAGTCAGATGCACAGCTTTTCTTCCTGTAATGATTCCTCCTGTTCATACCGGCCAATCAGAGATGACTTCCTAATGCACTTTCAATGTTAGAGAGAAGGGACAAAATCCTTGTTTATCTGAAGTTGAAATGAAGCTTCAACAGTTTGACTTTGACAATTCTCAAGTGGGTATTTTCCAAAGTTTCAGATATTTTAATACAAAATTCTCTCTTTTTGTTATTATCATTCAACCAGGAAACACTGTTCAGGGAAACACAATGAAGTAATTTTACACCAAAAAGACTGTAACTTTGAGAGATATCCACTTGATTTGAAACGTCTGAATACATGAGGACCGGGGATTTTCTCCGCCCACAATTAGATTGAAAGTGCATTAGGAAGGGATCTCATACCGGCCAGTAGGAACAGGAGAAATGATTACAGCATGAAAAATTTCTTTAAATGTTTATATGGGCACCTGACTATTTTTAGACAGACCTGAAAAACCCTTCTTCCTCCTTCTCTACCCAGATTAAATCTTAAAAAGGTAAAAGTTGGTCAATAATGTAATGCTGTACTATTTTCCTGCATGTCCGATAACACGCGTAATACAGAAAAAGTAAAGTAAATGTGCACAAAGTGACTGTGTGATGGTGTGTTGTTGCAGAGACAGCGGCCAGCCTGATGTTTTCTTCACTCTGAGTTATCAAAGCGAGGACGGCCCAACTAGTGTTCGTGTCCAGCTGAACAACCTGCTCTTCAATCTGCATGGCAGCCAGAGGAATTTTGCATCACTCTTCGATCTGCTCACTTATTACACTAGCTCATCCTGTAAGCTGACAGTGCCATATCGCAAACAGCGTCCAGAGAGCCTGAAGCAGGTGTGCAGGAGGGCTTTTATTCGCACATATGGAGCAGAAAATATAAGCACCTTACCCGGACTCAGCCCTCAAGATAAAAACTACGTTTGTGCATACCCGCACTGTATATAGAGACACAAGTGGACAAAGTGCCTGTTGCTGTATCAAGATTTTGTTTGTGTTATTATATATATGTATTTGTGTTATTTGAATAACACAAATACATCTTGAGAGTAATTGATCTGCAACTTGTTCAAGGGTTGTTTTGGAAAAATGGTATCATTTACAGAGTACACATAGTATGTGTTGTAAATTTTTTTTTAAATAAGAACAACACATGCTGTCAGACGACCATACTTATTATCCATGTATACTGGAGAAGATTTCAGCAAATCCTTTGCAACCAGTGCACCCCTGCCTCTACAATATTTATCAGTTTGTACCATAAATAAATATAAATTGCTGCTGCTGTTTAAAGCTGCATTAATTGATATGTGGCCACTAGGGGGCAGACTAAGATCAAAACAAGATGACATATCACCAATTTATAAAGTCATGGCTAAAATATTAGCTAACATTCATTTGGAGTGATATTCGTGGTGAATCTAAATTGTGTCTAATATTCTCTCTTCTTTTACTTTGTGTGAAGCAAACAGTGGCTGAGGATTAATTATTTTAAGTTAATTATTCTGTTATCTAAGGACAAAAGTTTTTTTTTTGTCATAATTGGGTATTTGTCTCATTGTCTTGGGAAAACAATGGGCATTTTTTTATCTGGACACTGGGACAAATGGAACAATAGTGTTTTGTTTTCTTGACATAAATTATGTTATGGATGAAACACCTAATTAGAGCCCATAGTTTAAAAATTCCTAATCCAGGTAATCTGGACGTCACATACAGTATTTAGTTAACAATATCAGCAGGATCACTGAACTACACATCTTGAAGTTGCAGCTGTAGTCTGCTCATAAATGAGGAAGCCTGATTACCTTTTGTTTTCTTGAGATAATTAGTCTGTTGTTACAAGAAAATTACTTTTTATCCTGAGATAATACGACACAATTATTGCAACCTCGACTGTTCTTAGCTTCTGTAGTCTTGGTCTCCACTAACTCCAAAAATTGATGTGTCTTTGCTCAGATTTTCACTTTCTTCAGCAGCTAGTGAGTTACTGTAGGTAGGTTTGTCTTTTGTCTGCTTGACTGTCAAGGTGAGTTCATGAGAGCAGTTCAGACTGAATTACAGAGTAAATGTGGTGTGAAACCAATACAGTCAGCAACAAAGCTCCACAGTGCAGCTGCTTTGGTGATTAGTCTCTGGGTTTTACGTCTTTCAGATTACATGTATGTATTTGATTTAATTTCAACATAACAGTATTGATTAATGCAGTTTTACAATTTGGACTCACCATCACTTGAAATAATTTTCTTTTTAATTTTTTTTATGTGTAGTTGTTGTTTTTAATCCTTTGTAACAACAAAGAGCTGTACAATAGTGTGATGCTTTGCAAAACTTTGTGTGTGAGGAATAAATTAAAATCTTTAGTCTACCAAATACAGTACATGTGAACCCTTGGCTGAATTACTAACCAGGCAAAGCAGGCAACTGCCCTGTGGCCCCAGATTCTCAGGGATCCCTGGTTCTATAGCAAATACTTTGAGGTTTATTATTATTGTTTACTTTTTATTCTAACCACACTGGCAGTAATTAGGGATGGCAATGTCAGTGTGTCCATCCACCACTTTGGTCCAGAATGAAATATCTCAAAAATCACTGGTTGGATTGCTATTAAATTTTGTTAATGATCAACCGAAGATAAATCCTTTGATGATCCCCTAACTCTTCATCTAGCGCCACCATGAGGTTGATGTTTGTGGTTTTTAGTGAAATATCTCAACCTAAGAAGGATTGGCAAGAAAATGTGTACGCTTATTCATGGCTCCCACGGGATGAATTTCCATAACTTTGGTGATCCCTTGATGTTGCCTCTAGTGCCACCATCAGATCACCAAAAGATCAGGTTTAATTTTTCCAGTACTTTAGTTTATGACCAAGTTTCTGTAAAACTAATGACAGCCCCATCAACCTTTGATATATTTTGTGTTTAGCAATCATTAGCAAATGGTAGCATGCTAACATGCTAAAATGAGATGGTGACCATGGTGAATATACCTGCTAAAAATCAGCCTGTTGGCATTGTCATTGTCACCATGTTAGCATGTTGACATTAGCATTTAGCTAATGCTACCATGGCTGTATACTATTAGTCTTATTGTAATATGCACAAGAAAGTCCCAATTTTCTACTACACAAATTGTATAAAGAATGTGTAATATACTTACCTTATAATATTATAATACATATATTCATATCTTTCCGCCACTTGATGCGTCTTTCGGATGTTTGTCCTTTTAATGACGTGATCCATATGATTCATCTGAAAAGTAGATCATATGCCAAAGTAAGATCATCAGCTAAAATGAGCCCACAAGCTTCTTAGAATTAGTATGTGGTATGGCATTGGGACCGCTCTATTTTTTTTAACAACAATTTCCGTAGATACAGTTCTTATATTCTCACATAAATTTATTCTTAATCTAATTATAACCAAACTAAATTGGGTAGCTGAATGGGGGCCCACAGTTTATTTGGACCCTGGGCCCCCCCTTGTGTGTTAATACATCCCTGTGTGAAGCTGTACAATTACAACACAATTATGCACAGATAAACCTTACACATACACTAATTTTTTAATATATTTTTTTAAATAGTCTTATGTCATCTGTTCCACTTCCTGTCCTAAATCTGACTGGCAGTGGCCCCTTTAGTTTAAATTAGCCCTGCACCAGGGACACACATATACACACACTTTTCCTGTCCTCAAATTATCTCTGTTATCTCATTAACCTTATGATGTTGACGTAAAACTATCACCACTGTGACACATATAGAGGCAAGGCCAATGTATTTGTACAGCACCTTTTAAACACAAAGCAATTCCAAACGCTTTAGAAAGTGTAACTAAGAACAAATAAATAACCTCCTATGAGGAATATGAAAAGACACATACCCTTGGCTATATATAGGATTTAAAAACAGTAAAATGAATTAAAAGGTAAAACAATTTGAGTAAAATAATAAAAGCAGAAGAATAAAAATTACGTCACATAGTTTCACTTCAGTTCAGCGCAAGGTATGAATGAATAAAACGCAGTGTAAATCATCATTTCAGGTCTACACCGAGTGTCCCATGGGTCCGCGCGATCCCGGGCTCCCACTATCCCGTGCTGTGAGTGCACGAGACTGAGTACATTATTATTACGATGTCAAACGACCTCTCTTGACTTGTGCGCCCGCACGGGCGCAGACACGCGGACAGGGATTACAACAACTGGAGTGGCGAGCGCACAAGCAGCTCGTGTTTATGTAATGCCATATGTGACAGTGTGTGTGTGTGTGTGTGTGTGTGTGTGTGTGTGTGTGTGTGTGTGTGTGCGCGCGCGCGCGCGCGCTGGAGCTGGCGCGAGCTGGTCCAGCACCGAGGCGGCGACAGCGGTCACACGTTAAACATCAGCGACCCGCGCCTGTTATTCTGCGGATTGAGGGCTCGTGAGATTTCAGCCGTGCGGATTTGACCCAACATATAGAGGAGGGCGCTCGAGCTCTACCGTTTTTCACGCACGGCACGCACGTAGACCCGGTGAAATAGTCACGCGGACAGAATCTGTGGAATCTGTCGCGTGTTCCTGCGCGGCCGGAGAGCATCCCGGCAGAGAGCGAGGCCCGGTCGGTCGGTCAGTGGTCGGTGTGGGGTCTGTGGCACCGCGCGGAGGGGAGGTAGAGCGGGACTTGCGCTGGACTCCTGGCCGAATCGGAGCATCCCACCGTCCCGGCAGCATCCATCCCTCCGTGCCTCAGCTCCAGCGGGAGGCCCGGAGCGGTGGCAGGATGTAGCAGCGGATTAACGGAGGAGAGAGGGGCGCTCAGAGGAAGAGAGCGGGACCGAGCGGACTGAGGCGGGACGGAGGGGACATGGGGAAGGACCAGGAGCTGCTCCAGGCCGTGAAGACCGAGGACTTGCTGACAGCTCAGCGGCTTCTACAGAGACCACGGCCGGGAAAAGCCAGTCAGTATCCCTCCATCCTGTCACATGCGCGCGCGCGCGCGCACACACACACACACACACAAACACACACACACACCCCGTCATTACCAGATCAGGACAGTGCAGGCTAAATCTGATGTGATGCCATTTAGCCTAAATGGTGCACTGTGTGTGTGTGTGTGTGTGTGTGTGTGTGTGTGTGTGTGTGTTCTCCTGCATGCATGCGTGTGTTTGTGTGTGCGTTAGTGCTATGACGTTGAGTGTGTGATAGTGATGACGTTGCACATGTGTGAGAGCAGTCATCAAAATGCAATTCTAAATCAGAAATGCTTGTCACCCCATTTCCTACAATTCACCATTTGTGTATAGTATGTGTGTGCATGAATGCTCAAAGACAGGATGTGTGTATTAGCGCGCGCGTGTGTGTGTGTGTGTGTGTGTTTGAGATAGAGGTGGAAGTACATGAAGGTCCAACACTGCTCTCGGGACAGGGGGGATTATTGGTGTGTGAAGATGCCAGATGTTGGTGGTAATAATGTGATGACTGTAAGTGTACACGTGCAGACATCTGCATGCGTGCACATATGTGACGCTCAAACGTGCATGTGTGCGGGTGCTTCACATGGAGTCAGCTGGGACTTGAGGTGATAATTAGATTTCAATTACAGCCTTGAAACTGCTCTCCTCCTCCTCCATTTCACCACCAGACCACTCTCGATTCCTCTCGTTTCCTATTCTTTCCTTTCCCTCTCCTCCTTTCTTCCTGTTTCCTCAAATCTTCTCGCCTGTCGCCTGCTTTCCTCTCCTGCCGTTTCCTTCGTTTTCCTCATCGTCTGGCCTCTCCTCTCCTCCTGTTGCCTACTTTCCTTTTGTTTTCTTCTCTCTCCTCTTCCCCCTCATTTCCTCATCTCATTTCCTCTTTTTTTTCCTCGTTTCTTCCCCTTTTCTATTTCCTCTCTTCTTCTCTCTCCTACTGTTTCCTCACCTCACTTCCTATCTACCCTGAGTCTGTTTGCTTTCATCTCCTGTCCTGTTTTATGATTCACACCCCTTTTTTCTTCATCACCTCTTTCCTCTTTCATATGCCCTCATCTCTTCTCCTCACCTCTCGTACTCTCCGCTCAGCTCCCCTCCTCTCATTTAATTTTCTCTTATCTCCTCTCTTCTCTTAATGTTTCTTTCCCTCTTCTGTGCTCTCTGCTCATTTTCTCCTCGTTTCCTCTCCTTACTCCTCATTTCCTCCCGTTTATATTGCTCTCCTCTTCTTTGCTCTCTTCACTTCCTTTCCTATTTCCCCTCCTGTCCTCCCCTCTCCTCCCCTCCTCTCCTCTCCTCTCGTATGTGCATGTTTGTCTCTGAACATTCCAGCAGTGCCATGGAAAAGAAAAATGCTTCTCCTCAAATGCCAGAACAGATCAGCTCTGAGTGCTCAGTCCACTGCACACTGACAAAGAGAAAGGGGGAGGTGGGTAGAGGGTGAGGGAGATGGTGGGTGACGAGGAGAGTTAGACTGGGAGAGAGGAGCGAGGCGAGTCGAGGGCAGGACAGGATGAGAGAAACACTGAGATATGGATGCAGGGAGGTAAAAAGACAAGAAGTGATGGGTGAGGTTAAGGGTGAGTTATGGAATGGTGTGTGTGTGTGTGTCCAGGTTTATGTTTTAATAATTAAACAGGAAGCCATGTTTCTCTGCTGGATAAACACTGCGTACACACACAACCAAATACCTCTAATACACACAAGCACAGGACAACATGCACAGAAACACACTTGACACATTAGGTGTTAGTCATGTGCCTGATGCCTGCGTTTGTATTATTAACAGTATGTTAATAGTGTTAGAGCGGCAGAGTAGCAGGGGAGAGGGAGTTTCTGTGGTGGTGTGTTTGCTCTGTCACCTCACCCATCACAATGTGATGAGGGGGATTAAGAGAGTTGAAGTGGTGACAGGATACACTTTACAAAGGCTTTTATTAAAACGGTTGATAAATCGTTTGCCAATGCTTTATAGATCAGCTATAAGTCATTGAAAAACAATGACTTCTGAGCTGTGGAAAATCCTCCTCCAGCCTGACACTTCACTAGCACTTAAATTCATTATGGAGACACCTCCAAGCAATCAGGTCTGCAGTTATAAACATTAGGGAGCCATTAACAAAGGGTAACATGTTTCATGTTTGCAGTTATTAATGTTAGTAAGCCATACATAAAGTGCAACGGGTTACCCACATTAAAAGTCAGTCACCTGTAAATGTTGATAAATCATTAATAAATGTTTCTACAACAAAACATCACGTCTGTTAATAAGCTGTTAATGAATGGATTTTGGTCCAGATGGCCTGCAGCCACTTTCCAGAGGGTAGGCGGTCAAACAGTCCATTTGAGAGGTCTCTCTAATGAATTAAAAGCTATCAGGAAAAAAACATGTCATTTCCACAAACTGGCAACCCACAGGTTGCTCTCATTGGTGGCTTATAACTAATCTATAATTAATTATTAAATTATTCATTAACCATCTATTAATTGACTCTTAAAAACAGCGTCTTGTCAGGAGGTGGTACGGGGTGGGACAGTAGAGCTGTTGTCCCTGTACTACTCCAAGTAATTAAAGGAATAGTTCAACAATTTAGGAAATACGCTTGCTGAGAATTAGATGAGAAGATCGATGCCTGAAGTCTGTGCAGTAAATTTGTAGCCTGTGAGTTTAGCTTAACATAAAGCTTAACATAAAGAGTAGAAACATGGTGAAACAGCACGCCTGGTCCCATCTGAAGGTAACATAAGGGTAACTAAACCAGCCCCTCTAAAGCTCACTAAATAACATGCAGTATCTCACTTATTTGAAAGTCAAGACAGTTTTAGACAGTTTTAATGGCGGGACGGACTCCCTGGACTCTCTAGTTGCTGGCAAATCAAAACTGTTCCTGGCAAAGAAATAGTCCGGCACATACACCCCCGTAAACCAGCAAACCCTGGTTTTATATCATATAAAATTTAAGCCTCACTAATTTAGCTTGAAGTGTCAGCAGGATCTCATATCCTACAGAAGGTGTGTTGTCCTGTAATCAACCCATATTCACACTTAAAGAATCTGTAAAAAATGAAAAATCAATTGGCAACAGCTTCAGTAATGTTTCCTATTTCCATATGCTTTGTATTTATAGCTAACTAAGACATTCTGAGGGTGTAAGTTATTTGAATAGCTTTTGGGATAATGCTGGTGTTATTCTTCTGACTGTAAACAGATTCCATGAAAAGACCAAAACCAACAATTTGTTAGTCTGTCTCTCAATACTTTCTGACTTCTAGCCTGTTTGTGGTTCTCAGCCCCAAGCCCATCTGTTCCTACTGAAGACGATCGTATCTTAAAAACAGTTCACAAACTGGCAATGTCATTTTTAGGTAGCATTACGCTGTAGTTTTTAGTAAATGTGTCTCAAACGAGAGGAAGAAGTGCAGTTGTTGGGAACTACTTTCAGCTGCAGATTAACAAACATTTGGTGCTGTAGTGAGTATATTTGGCATCAGGGTGGTGTATGTGAGATTGATTCAAAATAAACTGCAGTGTGTGTGCACATCGTAAATAAGGAAGGTGTCACCCAGTATATTGGTGTGGCTGATTGATGTGTTTCTGATCATTTTAAACAAAAAGCTCTATGCTCTTTGGCGCTCTATGGCTCAGTTTTTGGCTTTGGCTGCACAGACAATACTTGTCAATGGGGCCAATTCATTGTTGGTTTTGGTCTTATCATGGGATTTGGTGACAGTAAGAAAACTATAGCCTTATTCTTTAAGTTTATTGTCTTTGATGGTAGAGTTTCTTTTTACAGAAAGTCCTCTGTGTATGTTTTGGTTCAAAAGTTGATTCTTTAGAGTTTGAATGAATCAGCTCAGATAGAGAGATGTTTAGTCTGTGCTACAGCACTTTAAAATAGATTACATTAAAAGCCAATGCCTGCTGACACAAAGAAAGGGACATTTGGTAATGGTTTCCTTATCTTTGGCTCAGTTGCAGTAAAGCTCTTTATCTTAGAGATATGAGAACATTCTTATCACAATTGTGTCTCTTTTATGTTGTAGCAACCAACAGAAATAGGCACTAAGTAATTTACAGTACAATGTCTCGGTCTCTATCAACGCTCAAGGTCTGGTATTCCCATTACATCAAGTAAATGACTGTATCTGAACTCAGCTGCCATACACCAGCAGTGAACCGGCAGAAATACTAAGTGGTAACATGCTGCTTCAGCACAATGTGGTGAAAATATGTACTTTTCATTAACTTTTTTTGGCTTGAGATCGACACGCGTTGCACATGAGGTGTTCACCTCTTCACAACACTGTCCTTCATCCTAAAAATAAAAGCCAGAAGTTACAAGTAAATTATTAGCAATGAGCCATAACAACCACAACAATCCCCAACCAGTAGAGTATATTCTAAGCATGGGGTCGTAGAAATCAAAGTGATCAATCTGTCAATTAACAAAAACATTTCTCTTCAACTATTTTAAAAATTAATTAATCCCTTAAGTCAATATTTAGTTGCTGCTTTCAGCTTCCCAAATGTGAGTATTAGCTTATTTTTTTCTTATATGTTAATAAACTGAGTGTCTTTTGGTTCTGGGCATTTTATAGGGAAAACAATTGTTTGATTATTTGAAAGATTTTCCAGAGATTAACCAACATTGAGTTGGTTAACTGAGTTTACTGAATGCAACAGTAGTGGCTGTCTTTCTTAAAATTGTATTCTTTCCAGCATGTACAGAAAGTGCAAAATAATCTTTGGCACTCTTTTCATTTTTCTGAATTACCACTACTGTGTTAAAGTCTGTGTAAAAGTAATGTTTAAAGCTCGATGTTTAATAGAAGGTGGTAAAAATGTCAAAATGTTATTAAAAAATATTATTCTATTATTACATGTATCTGCTTACTGCCTTTTGAAATTATGACCCTTACAGCACTCTCATCACATTCTCTTGTTCTCCTGTCATTTTGTGCTTTAGATGAAAATGTGATACCTTTCCTTGACCGTTAGCATACTGTGACCCTGAGTCGGGCCACTTTAACATATGTGCGCAATCGTCTGAAAACAGAAGGAGAAAAGACATGTCAGTGCTGGCATTTGTTCTAGGCTACATGTTACACTGAAACTCTAAATGCATGGTGACAGGCAAAGTCAGGGGTGATGGAAACCGGACTTCAGAACATCTCTGGTAATGAGAACCCTTGAAAAACCCTCCACTTCACCTCTCCCGAGGTTCGAGAATCTGCTCTGATGCACTGAGGGCTGCTTTTTCAGCCAGTAGCTACTTGTCTGTTTTTGTACTCTCTATATAAAGAATGAAAGGTTTTAAATTAAAGGTGAATGATGTGATTTCATGTCACATAAATGCTAAAACAGCTACAATTTTAAAGAGATGTCGCAAAATAATATCATAGTAATCCCTGCCAAGTGATTGATAGTCTGTGAGAATGGCACATTGGGGGTTGCCATGGTAACAGGGGCACGATTGCAGTGTTATGCCTAAAATTATCATAAAAAATATGAACCCTGGTCCAAGGACACCATCACAGAATATGGTAATGCTCTTAAACAAACAGTTCATGTCAGAGATGGAAGATACATAAACCTGAAATTTTATGCACCAAATTTAGTCAGTGGTACAAATCAGGTAGCGTATTTATTATGAATAAATACATTAAAGTTTTAATGTGAAAATCTGTTCTGAGAGGAATCACTTTGGCTCTTAAACCAAAAGAAAAGATGAATTGTTAAGAGGAGAGTGGGGTAGTATTTGTCAGCCGTCTTTGTCAGCTAGTATTTCATTAAATATATATTAGAGTGTCGAGTCAGAGGGGGAACATTATTAAGTAATGCCGAAATCAAGACTTTTTTGTAGTAAAAGAAAGACAATGTTAAATGAAAAAAATAGTGGAATAATTGTGGGTGTTGTGTCTTGTGGTCCTGTCATAAGTTATAGTGTTCAGGACGGGGATCATGTGGCTCTGTGATAGTCTGATGGTGACACAGATATCTGCAGTCATTGATTCATCTGGCGGTGAGGGGGGAGGGAAGGAAGGTTCTTATTTTTAATCCAAGATAGATAGGGGGAACCTACACGTCCACAAAAACACACACACAGAAACACACACACACACACGCGCGCAGGAGAATGATGTCAGCTGCAGAGTGTAAACAGACACTAGCAGAACTACCAATCAGCACGCACTCTTTAGCAAATTACAGGGAAAATTAGAGTGTGAGAGCAGGATGAAGGGATGAAGTGTAGATGGAGCTGCAGAGAGAGGGAGAAGCTTTTCGCCAGATTACAGGACAGCTACAGATTACGGCCTGTGGATTATGAGGGTTTGACCAAAAAAAAAAAAAAAAAAAAAAAAAGGGGCAGGGAAAAAACAAACCGCTTTTTT